TGGTTCCCTTCTTCCCTGCTTGAGAGTTAATTCAACTCAATTCAAGGGATATTGTTTATGGAGTAACTGCCTTGTTCCAGGCACCGTGTTGGGCACTGGGGGGTGAGAAGTGAATGGATTAGTCTCAGACTCTGATCACAAGAAGTTCACTGACTACTACGAGAGAAATGTCTGTAGAGAAACAAGTACAGGTCAGCATGACAAACCCTTGCCTGAGCTCCGAGAGCACCTGCCACTTCCTCAGTAACTGCGCTGGCTACGCTGAGTTATAAGTCATGTCCGCTCGCTCCTGAGGTCTTGGACTACAAGGACTTGGCTTATTAATTTTGTATCCTCAATGTGCTTCATAAATATATTTTTTAAAATAAATGATTACGCGTTTCACTTAAGCATAGTAATCTGGCAGGTTACTTAACATTTCTGTGCCTCAGTTTCCTCACGTAATGCACGAGGAAGGTATTTCATTTTCTAACTCTGGTGGACTAGCTTGTATCAGAATAACCCTCTTGCTAAGAAAAATGATAAAAGCAGAACTATATATATTTAAGATACAATAAATATATCCATTTAAGAGCACATGTGCATGTATACATATATCCTTACATAAATATATATTTTAAAAAGTATATAAGAAGTACAATTTTTAAAAGGTATTGGCAGGAACAAGGAAGTTAGGACTCAAATGGTCAAAGTCCAAAGAGAAGGCAAGAGAGAAGGTAGCCCAGCATTTGGAGCCAGTTTCCCCCCAGTCAGTATCTGCTAGTTTCTAGCAGCAGCAAAGAGGCCAGGAGCAGTAATGGAGCTAAGCAGCTGAGAGGTTGAGCAGGGCTTCAGCAGTCACCCAGGTTTGGGAAGTTAAAAATTGGAATTAGCTGTCCCCAGGGCGGAGAGACCCTAATAAACATATTGAAAGCTAACACCCGAGGAACAAAGACGAACTGGAAAGCCCAGTCATCACAGATTGAGGCGTCAGCGTAACCTCAGCATCTCTTAACCGGATCTGCTTCTATCCTAACTGCCTTCAGAAGAAGTAGTAAACCCTCTCTTGGAGAAAGATAACCCCATTGAACGACCTCTACCATTTTCCATGTACAATTACTAACATTCAGTCCCAAATCATTAGACAAACCAGGAATCAAGAACAAACTGACAAGAGAAATAGACCGATGAGATATTCAGCTATTGGAGCCGTCAAACATAGACTTTAGTACCTAAAAGGTATGTAACAATACCTACTAAATGAGTTAATACATGTTTAATGCTCAGAATAATGCCTGGTATACAGTGAGCTTAAGATAACTGCATGTTAAATATAAAAGAAATACTTTGGAGTCATGGGGGTTCATTCTGCTGAGTGAATGGATGAGTCTCAGACTCTGATCACAAGAAGTTCACTGACTACTCAGTATCACTCACTCAGCAGACACTTACTGGGCAGGGAGGTCCTGTGATCACAAACAAGGTGAGAACCCTGACTTCAAGATGGTCACAGCTGAACGAAGATAGAAGCTTCTCAGTAAGGGAAGATCATATAAGGTTGTTCTAAATAAAAGAGGGAAAGGATGAATTATTATATATATGGATCTAAGCAAACAGAATAGAGAGGTAAATAACATGGCAGTGTGGTGGCCAGGGGGGTGGATGGCCAGCTGGAGTCTCGTGCCTCCCCACGGCCTTTGGCATTGGTTGAGATTGTCTCCCAGTCCCGAGGCAGCTGTGACTGTTAATAGCATTCCCGATTTATACAGCAGAAAGCAGAGGCTCGGACAGGTTAAGGGATTTTCCCTGGTTCGTCAAAGCAGAGTTGGTGTTCAGATCAGGACAGCTTCCTAATTGCCATCCAGTATTCTTTTTCTTTCTCTTTTATATTATTTCAGAATATGGGACTCCAGGCGAAGTCCCATATTCTGAAATAGAAGGGACTTCACTCCAGGTGAAGATGTATGGCATGCAGCAAGGCTCTCCCTAATAGTTTACTTCTTTGTCCTCCTGACATCCCAGACTCAGCTTCTAGGACTCTGGAGACCGAGACTGCTCCCCAGCTGAGGGTAGGCAGATAGGAGATGCCCTGCCTGAGCCCATTTTCCAGGCAGGAGCCCCTCCAGGACGGGACACATGGCTGTGTTCCAGGAGGCTGGGTGTTAGAGCCATTGACCCTCTGCAGCTCACTTCAGAGTTAGAATGTTTCCACAGTCGGATGGCTGTGGACACCACAGACCTGACCCCTGGAGCTTTCTCCACTAGCTTGCTGCTTGGAGGAGTGGCCAGATCATAAAAGTAGATTTATTGTTCCAGAGGGCTAGAGGGTCCCTTCTCTCCCAGCCCAGATGATTTTTCCTGTAGCTGTCTCCACTTGCTCTTGGCTTTTTCACCTGGGAAAATAAAGGCTCTGCCCAGGGAGCTGTGTTCTAAGGGAATAGACAAGATAGCTCACCATAGTACCATGGCCCACCTGGACAGGGTAAGAACAACATGTCCAGAATGGCTGCTGTGGAAAGTTAAGCCTATTTTCAGAAGATGCCTGCTGTATCTATGAGATAATCTCTCCCATGGGGCCAACGTGGAGCCCTTTTAGGTAGTTAAATTGAGGTGAGAAGCCCCATGAAAAAGACGGCAAGACCCCCAGGCAGGGCCACTTTTTAACTCTGAAACGGCTTACTTCTAGGAAAGCGAAACTTACCCCTAAGATTCTATTGGTTCCCTAAGCTCACTCTTGATTGATCC